ATATATATATATATATATATATATATATATATTAATTTCAATATGTATAATTTAATTTAATTTAGGATTATATGAAAACTTTTGCATACTGTATTATTTAATTTATTTGTTATATTATACAATCATTAATGTACGAAATAAGCTTTCTGCATTCTCTGTTTTTGCATGGCTTAAAGATCAATTAATCATTTTATTGTATACTTCACAGTATTACGTATTTCACAAAATTGTAAAACAGTGTAATATTAAACTTTATTTATAAAATTTACATAACTGAAATAAAATCGTATTTTTCTATGATATAACAACCATACTGTTTTGACTTTAGAAAAAAAGAAGCAAAATTAAACTTGGAACTCTCAAGACTGCCACAAGGAAGCAATACACTTTCACCAACAACTACATCTAAAACAATAGTGTCAAGTACACTGCCAACTACTACAGCTACAGCTACTACAACTGCCACAACAACAGCAGCTACTACTACTACTACTACTACTACTACTACTACTACTACTACTACTACTACTGCTACTACTACTACTACTACTACTACTACTAGTACTACTACTACTACTACTACAAGTCCTATTCCAACTAATCAAATACGCAGGTAAATATTAGAAAGAGCAAAAATTTATTTTAAATAAATTGATACAGGGAAACAAACTGCCATTTATAAAGTATTTCCCAACAATTTCTTAATAATAAATTCAAAAACTCAGTAAATGAATTTGCTAAAAGAACAATAGGTATTTTAAAGCTTAATTACAACAAACACTACAATCTAGAATATGTATGAAATACATTTAAGACTGTAGTTTATATATTCATATTTGCATCGTGCAATGTTAATGTGGCTGAGTAGTGTTCAACCAGTGGAAGCTACAGCTACAAACAATTCAGTAGCAGTTCCTGGAACTCCCACTACACCAGGAGGGAGCAAGCTAAGTCCAGGAAATATCTTCAAGAATTTCTTCAAGTGGGTACTTAATGTTTGACCTGAGAAGATTCTCTTGAAACGTGTGATATTTTGCATATTTTATAATACAGTATTAAATTATTGGCAGTGGCATGAAAATTTGCTTATAACATAATTATTTATTTGAGTTGCATACATTTATCCTAAAATATTACTTGTCCCAATAACCACTGCCTTGTCTTTGCTACTGAAACATATGAATTAATTTTCTCAGCCACTTAAATAGCTTCATATTTTTCAATGTACTTTTTCTTTTTTTTTCTTTTCTTTGTTTTTTCACATTTATATAAAATGTACTTCAGTAAATTTACTGATGTTCAGTAAAGTGATAACACAAAGTCATAGCTTCAAATGCACAGAAGTACCATGACTGACATAAAAAAGAAAAAAATACCACTGACATACTATTTTTTAATTTTGTGAAAAAAAGAATTTTGGCATGTCTTTAAATTATATTTTATATATGTGATATAAATACAAACAAATGATATTTTTGTTTTCTAAATATTACATATAGAACTGTAATATTTATAAACAATTATGATTGATAATAAGTAATAATAAAATAATTTAATGTTAAAATAAAATAATTTTAACATAATAATTTTATGTAATATTTGTAAATGTTGCCTGTATATCATGTTTATTATATTTGCTTTTTTTAATTTTTTATTATACTTGAAAAAAATTTTAAAATATTGTACAGATACTCTCTTAGTGCAAGCTATTAATATAATGTAAATTTCTGTTTAGATCGTTTGTTCCTCCTGTTCGTGATGAAGAAAGTGAAACACAAAGAAAAGCTCATGCAAAAAGAGTAAGAGAAACTCGACGTTCAACTCAAGGAGTGACATTGGATGAAATTAAAAGTGCAGAACAACTAGTAAAAAAGAAACAACAAAATAATGAAATTTCTTCTGCAATATCATCTACACAGGTAAATTTCTTCATATAATATTATTTTACCCTAAGTAATATAATTGTTATAAGATATACAATTAAACTAGAGTTTTTTAACCCCATATTATGTGTAAACTTAGTTTAATTTGCATATCTGCAATACTTATAAAATACTAAATTTCCTAATAATATTAAAAGCTTTGTAATTTATTCATATTTTTTTTTAAATAACTCAGCCTGCAACTACTACCAGCAACACAGCCTCAATTACAGCTACAATAACAACAGCAACTCCTACTACCGTAATTGCAAATAAACCTTCCGAAGAACTTAATTTACCTGAGAGACGCCCTTCGTGGAGATTGAAAGTGGATAATGGAAGCAAGGTTTGTGGTTCATATAATTTTAATGAATGCATATTTTAACATAATATTGTGCTTATATAGCATATTAATATATTTTTATCATTTTAAAAGAAATTATGTTACTTAGTTCCAGTTAGAAGATGCCAATAACAGAGCTACTACATTATCTAATCCAGATGCTACTACAGCATACATGAGAAGACCTTCAGTGGGTACAAGTGTACCAAGACCGTCATCAGCTCCAGTTGAAACTATTGCAACGAGTAGTGCAGAAACAACAGTGACTTTACCACTGAGACGATCGTTAAAACAACCTGAAGATAAAGGTATACACATTGATACTTATGTGTATAAGTTTAAGTGTACGAATAAAAATTTTTATATTACTTTTGCTGATATGTTTCAGAACAAGATAAGGAAAATGATAGTAGAAATGCACAAGCTACACAAGCTGTTATACAAAGGAGACGAAGACCCAAAAGAAGATCTACTGGTGTTGTCCACGTTGATATGGACGTTAGTATCCAATTATTATTTCATTAATTTCAGTTATTTGAGTTTATCATTTTTCGTATTGAATATTTTATAGGAAATCGATCCCGAGAAACAAGACTTAACTGCTGGTGGAGATTATGATGAGTCCAAAATCAACCATAATGAGGTAAATACATTAATTTTGTTTTATTATTTTTTAGGGTAAATAATATTAAAAAATGTTGTATTTTAACAAATTTTTTAATTTCACAAATTTTATGTTAATGATTTATATTCAACATATATATGTTGATTTTAAAATCTCTCTTATATGATGTCCCCTTTTGAACTAAACAATTTTTGTTAAAACATCTTTTTGATACCTTTAATCCTACGTGAGATATTCTATATACATTAAATGGAAATGAAACAAAAAAAAATTTAATTAATCCTCTCTGTTATTTCATCTTTTTATTAGAATAAAATTTTATGTTCAATAAGATATTTTTAGTTTAATATTTCTATATTTGAATTAGTAACTATTATATATAAGTATTATAATATGAACGCAATTTCATGAAGCACACGCTTTGAGTTATTTTTGGATTAGTCTCTGGGAAGATTAACCTCTATTCGTGCTTTGTTAAAAATAGTTTTCCATTTCTTATATCTCCTCTTATATCTTGTCACACCATATATTAAGACCAATTGCATATATAAAAGTACTATAACTTCATTAATCTTTTAATTTTATACCTAAAACTATATTTATAATTTTATAATTGCATTTTATAATTTTCATTATTTATTGCATACATTATATCTTTTATAAATAGCTAATTTTTAAGTATATTCAAATTTATTGAAATTATTGCATTTATATAAGTAACATATAATAATTCGTATAATTCATGTAATATATTAAATATATAGAAGTAATGAGATGAGAAACAAATAAAAAAAAATTAATCATGAACACATGGCCTAGCTGTATCTAAAAATATTCTATTGACATTTGGAACAATGTGGCACTTTGACATTTAGAATAGATGAGAAAGAATTTATTTATTGTTTGTACTGAATGCTGAATACTCTTTATATAAAAAGAAACAATTTTTTTAAATTTAATTTTATAATAATATATGTATGATATATAAAATTTTTAAATATAAAGATATATTTATTTTAATTATTTTAGTGCTTAATCGTGTCTTTTACATTACTTATAATATATGACATATGTATCATATTTATAGAATTTATATATATATATTTAAAAATTCTTATTTAAATGAATTATTTTTATTAATATAATTTGATGTATTATAAAAATTATAAATTAGCTATATACATTCTTCATCATATTTAATTAAACATATATAAAATGTTTTAAAAGTGAAATATGAAATATATTTATTTTAAAACACACAATCTTCGTAATAGTGTAAGTTTATACATGTGGCCTATAAATAGCATACCAAACTGATGCTTTAGAGTAAACTGGCTGATGTCTTACGTTCCTCCACCCAGTCTACGTCAGTCAAATACCTACTGTCATTAGAGCTAGATCGTCTTTGAGTATATTGTGGCAAAGTTATTTAACATTATAAGGTGTAAAATAATACAAAAAGTTTTAATTTCTTTCAAGAAATAATATGTAAAAAAATAATATTTAACTTAAAGACAGAAGTTTAAAACGACGATTTTTGAATTTATTTTATAAACAATGTCATCCTATAGAAAAAGATCTCAAGGAAAACCAACAACAGCTGCAGGATTGAGAGCTCAAGCATCAGCAAATGGAAAATCAATTTTTGGAAACAGATCACGAAGTATTAGTGGATTATTTCCTTTAAATCAAAATAGCTATTCTGGTTTGTTAGGCATTACTGGAAATCCTATTGGATTATCAAATTTTTTCAATAAAACTACAAAAAGTAATGAATCATATAGAAAAACTCCTTATTCAAATTCTACAAGTAATTTGAATTATCAAAATCCATATACAACATATGGTGGAACAGCATCAGGGTATGGAAGTATAACTCTGCCAATAAATATTAACTCTTTACGTTTACCGCCTTCCATGAGTTATAATTATTTAAATCTTAATTCAATTAATCATCCACAAGTGCAAAGAACAGAAAGCTTTAATAAATTAAAAACAAAACCGGATGCTCATTTTGGATCTAGAAGTTCTAGTATGCAAAGTTTAGCCAGTTCTGAAGGATACATTGTAAGAGAACATATCAAAATATTTTATAAAAAAATTTGTTACGTTCTTTATAAATAAATTTATAAAAAATACGTAACTTTTTTATATACATTGCTTTCATTTGATTTTGTTTTACAGAGTGGAAATGATCGAACTGGGAGATCTAACAGATTAGGGTCTATATCATCACTATCCTCAGAAGCACCTTCTATGTCAGTTAGAATAAAATCTACAACTTCTGAGAATGGAGAATTAGATTATAAAAAATTGTATGAAGAATCTCAAGTAGAAAATGAAAGACTTAAAGAAAAGCTTAGGCGGTCAGATGAACAATTAAGGGAAACCAGAAATTTATTGGACAAAGCACAAAGTGCACAAAATAAAACAGTCTTATCTGAAGCTGAGAAAAGAGAAAGGAGAGCAATGGAAAGGAAATTGTCGGAAATGGAAGAAGAATTGAAGGCAAGAATTATAAACTTTTTATGTTTACATTTTTTAGTTACAGTTATATCCATTGTTTTCTAAAAATAATATTCAAATATTATCAAGAAATTTATTAAATTTATGAAACAATTATTTGAAACATTTTAATTTTACTTATTATATATCATTATATTTTCATAAATTTTTTATGATTATATATTTTTTATACATTTCCTAATTAGAATGCACGTTACAATTTTTTGACAATTTTTTTGATTGTTATAACTAAATACAGAGGAAGGTGCCAGCATATCTGGAGTGGTTAATTTAAGAAAAAATTCAAGAAGTATAAGCAGCTTTTAATGCATTGCTTTTTTCTTTATTTGCCATTTCTTGGTGCTTTTATTTTTAGTACTTCTTATCAAATAATCACGCTTATTTACGCAATGATTTTAATATTTTTTTTCTTTTTTCTTATTTTATTTCATTTTTTTTTAATTTATAATCTGTGTGATTTACATTATCTATACATCTGGTCAATAATTGAAAATGTAATAAATGATGATAGAGTATATAGTATTATCTGGTGGGGCTTTTACAAAACAAGCGAATTTTGGGCTAATCGTTTCACTGTTTACAGCAATTACAAAAGCTCAAAGCTGAAAATGAGAGATTGAAAGCCGAAAATCGGGCACTTACCCGCGTCGTATCCAAACTCACCAATACTACTAAATAGGTAAAGGACATAATGACAGCATCTGCGTTAACAGTGTACATCGTATTTCACGTACAATATTAATTAATTAATTGATAACTTACGATTTTTACGTTCTGATCGCAATATTGAAACGATGTCGCTCACTGACTTATCTTATAATACAGCTTCGCAAAATATACTACGCGTAATTGATCATTAAAATAAGTTTCATTTTAAGAATCTATAACAGCTTATGGTACAAAAATTTAAAGCTTTTGTAAATCTTTTTAATAGATATTATGCTATAATTATGTAAACAACATTTTTTTTCTATTTTACTAATGAATAATACTTACAATCTTATAATATATGCATTTTCATTCAGTCTTATACATTTTATATTTTCAGATTCTTAAAAATGTGACGTTTAATAAAATTTACAAATATTTTATCATTAAATCATTTGTACCAATATAAATATTACATTAGTAAAAGCTAAAATATCAAAAACCTAGTTATGTTCTTCCACAAAATTAAAAAACGCAGCCTGTCCTTTATTTTAGTTTTAAAATTGAGTTAAAAGAACTTTATAATTATGATCAATAGAACATGAATTATTTCAAAATATTTTAATTTAAAAAAGAAAGTTATAAATACCTTTTATTTCAACTACATGAAACTTTAGAAATACTAGTAATATTTTTAAACTTTTATTTTAAACTAAAAGGAAATATTTAAAATCGATATTTAAGAACTTATATAACAATACACTTTTTCCTAAAAAAGCATGTTAAGAATAAAGTTATATTTTATTGCACTATGTATTGTTTGATACTCACATTTCATTGCCCGATATATTATTATGCATATCATTCTTTATTTATTGTCTAATAGTAATTTTATAAGATGCATGAAAAAATTAAGTAATTAAGGTATAAAATTTGATCAAATAATAAAGAAATAATTTACTTAAAAAATTATAATAAAATTGCATAAATTTACAGTACAAAGAGCCAGAAATATAATTAAAATGTTAACTTCGAAACAGAAAATAATAAATATGTGTTAAACGAGCCAAGATATTGGGGTATACATTAGTAATTGCTTTACGTGCAATAATTATGTTTGCTTCTATTTTTTATTTATGCGTATAATTTGAAAATATAACATACTATTAAATTATTATAAACATATAAATTCTCCAAAGATTTAAAAAAAATTAACAAAATTCAATATTTTAGTTTAATCATATTTTTATTACATGTGTGCAAGATTTTTATAATAGCAGTAAAATTATACCTGCTTGTTATATTTTATATACACTACTCCTTTAATTTTGATGCACCTAATTGTTATAGTGTTTTATAATTATATTATAAAATAATTTCTAAATCTCTAATTACAATAGTATTTGCTTGTTTCCTATTTTCTGTTTGAGTTATTTCATTTTGTTTTGTGACTATTTATATTTATTTGACCCACTCTATAATGGCATTGCCTTTGTATTTTTTCCTTTATCTTTCTTTTTTTAAATTTTTTTTAGTAAGGAATACAATTAAAAATAACACAAAGTAGTTTTACATTTTTTTTTTTTTTCTAGGTGATGGACCAATTGAAATGTGAAAACCAGAGGCTAAAAGATGAAAACGGTGCCTTGATAAGAGTAATCAGTAAATTATCCAAATAACTCTAATGGTCTTAAAAAATGACTGTATAGCGTTTCTTACGTTGCATTACAACTGCATTGAATGAATTGTTTTAGCTATAAAGTATCATGATCATTATTGCTAGTATTCTTACAATGTATATTACATCATCAAATTATTGATGAATTTATTCTTAATGCTAGTAATTTAATTTATTATCAAACAAATTACTCGCGTGGCTGTGCCAAGAGCGAAGAGAAACATTGCTCCTATTCTTAGAATTGTGAATAGTTGACTATAAAGGATTTAGAATTTTTACTTTCTCACATGTAACTCTTCCTGTCGAAGATAAAATTCATGGTTCATTTTAGAGCCGGCGCTTTGTAAAGCAAAATGTACTTCGTTCAAATTGATAAAAAGCAAATGTTCTTTATGACAATTTTTTTAAAGAACTCACGTTATTAATGTTGACTCTTTATAAGGATATTTTGTAAATATGTAATAGGTAATAATAACGTGGCATTTTAGAATTAAATAAGAAAAATTTTTTACTTTCGAAAAACACATAACAGATATATATCAAATTTATTGTATAAACTTGTTTCCATAATTGTAATGCAAGCGAATACATTCGTAGAGTATTACAAGATTAATTAGAACAATAAAAAAAAAATTAATTAAGATGATTTTCATGCTATTCAAGTGGCCTTTCCTGGAAGACTGCAATTTATAATCCTTCCATCATTGCCATATTTTACAGAAAACAAAAATTCATACACTAAATAATGTTTTAATGTATTATTTTACAATTCTAGTTAATGAAATATAATTCAAACTAAAAATTTGTAATACATAGAAAAATTTTAAAAATAATAAGTTTCCAATAACTGATACAACGATGGAAACTGTTATTACATTTAATAACTAATTTAGTGTACTTGATTGAAAAAAAGTTTTTTACTTTTTAAATAGTAATATTTGTAATGAAATTTTAATTTTGATAAAAATGATAAATTTATAGGTAATGAAAAAAGGACAAATGATAATGTATGGGTGACATGTTTTTTTAACAATGTTATTGTAAAAAATTGTACAAAAAAATAGTTATTTCATAATGATGTTTGTTACTAAATAACAATTCTGCGTAACTATTTAGTATATATACGTATTTCCATTAGATTATGTAATAGCTACTTGTACAACTTATTGTACTTGAAAAACGTTTGAATGAAATTAACATCACAGTAATACAATGCTCATTATTGTATAAATTAAAAAAAGTCCGTTTGTACAATTTGTGATAAGTAGTTCAATCTTTATCAAATTTTATCAAATATTTTTACGCTTAATTAATTGAGATGTTTTACATTATGTACTTTTTGTAAGTATAATTATCTATAGTTATAACATATATATAATTGTACTATGTATACAATATTATTCAAACAACCCAAATAATCATTTGTAAATTCTTGTTTATATATTCGTCATTCAGTTGACATGTAACATTTATAAAACCACATTCAATATTTCATATAAACAATACAAAATGATTAAATCTTTGAAAATTCATTCGTTTGATAAAGATTGATCCTGCTATGATATCTTGCACGATTATAATAAACATGTTCCACCCTCAGGTATCATGTAGATAAAAGTCAGTGAATGTGGTCTGACATTTCTGTGAAATATTTTATAATATAATTAACACTGTTGAAAATAAAATTTTGTGCTGGTTCAAATTAAACTTTGAAGTTACATAGGAGCCTGACAATCTCTAATTTGTTGATTTGAAATATTTATTTCATATCTGGTTTTATATTTGTGATCGATAGTTTATAAAAAATTAATTTAGAAAAATTGCTTGTATATTTCGTATTATATTTTTAATGTGGTAATATGTAAATGTGTTAAAAAATAGGCACATTTAATTATTTATAAAGTTATTATTAAAATGTTATGTTACAGAAACATTTTGAAATTAACTCAATAATCTTGTCATAATTTTTGATGCTTTGGCCATATCTGCACGCTGTTCAGTAAGTAAAGATGTTTTGTGTAGAAACTTTTTAAATACTTTTTTACGTCCTGCTTTGTACTGTTTTACCAAATGGGGATTTGTTTTAAGTAATTCTAAACATATCATCTCCAATTCCTTTTCATCAGATATTATAAACCAATTATTTTCTTCAACAATCTATGTATAGTAAAGTATTATTAAAATTCATTAATACGTAGAAAATATAAAATAATTTAAATTTTTTCACCTGTTTTGGCATTTTATTTGGCTTATTGAGTAATTCATTTAATAATTTTTTAAATGTTGGTCGATTTATTATTTCAGTTTGTATTAAGTCTATCGATTCCTCAATATATTTCTGATTATTAACACTAAAAATTCAGTATATTAATATTTCTTCTTTATACTTTATTGTAATAAACTTACCAAAATGTAAAATCCAACTTATATTCATCTAACAATGACAAAATTTCAGATATAAAAATTTTAGCCACCAACTGAGGTTCGCGATGATTACCATTCTTTAAGATGTCGCAAAACAGCAGATACCATTCTAAATTACTCTAAAAGTAAAATTTAATTTACTACATAAAGTTTAATGTTTCAGATATTAAACATACTGTTATTGCTGCAAGTGTATCAGGTGTAAGACTTTTGAGTAAATTTTGACGTATTTGTTCTGGTAACTCTGGTAGTTGCTCCTTTAAGGATGGAACATCAATTAGATTATATGTATTTTGTACATTTTTATTGACATATAAATGTAAGGGAGGCAAATTTGGTTCAGGCATAAAACGATAATCCTAAAAATTAATAAATGTTAAAAATTATTAGAAAAACTAAACAAATATAAACTACATTAATTTGTAATTACATGTTTTTCTTCTTTCTCACGCATAAGAATTGTTTTTTTATTTAGTGGATCCCATGCGCGGGTTTCATTAGTAACTTCTCCTCCTTTCTGTAGAATTGAAATTTGTCTCTTTATTTCATATTCTATAGCATGATTGATAGCACTTAAACTTGAAATATTTTTTAATTCTGTTCGAATGCCTAAAGGTGCATTAGGTTTACTTATGGAAACATTTGCATCAACTCGTAAAGCCCCTTCTGTAAATATAAAAGAATCTATTTATTTATAATTAATAATTATTTATAAATAAACGTTGCATGAATAAAATAACCTTCCATTTTACATGAACATGTGCCTAATAATTGTAAAATGAAACATAGTTCCTTCACAAGAGCTGCTGCTTCTTCTCCACTTGTTAAATCTGGCTCAAACACTAATTCCATCAAAGGTATTCCAGCTCGATTAAGATCAATTAAACTTCTGTTATAAAGGACATATAAATGACGGTAACAATATATAATTTATTTTTCAAAATATATTTCAATTACTATAAATAAAAAAATATTTAATACCTTCCAAATCCTTCATTATGAAGACTTTTTCCACTATCTTGTTCTAGTTGTATTTGTTTAATTTTTGATGATTTTGAATAAGGTTGTTTATGCACTCCAGTTTTAAATACATGAAACTTAATTTTTCCATTAATAGCTAAAGGCTTTTTTTGTTGTGTAATTTGAAAGCCAGCCTATATAAAATTATATATAAAGTAAAATGCAAATGTACATGTATTATATATGCAGAATTTCATATTGTTTTAATTTACGTCCAATAATTATATCTTAAAAATATAATTAAAAATAAAATATTTACAGGTAAATCAGAATAAAAATAATGTTTTCTCTCAAACATTGAGACAGCATTTACTTCACAAGAAAGTGCTAAAGCAGTTAATACCCCAGCTTCCACGCATTTTTTATTTAACACCTATAAAAACAATACAATAAAAAATTAATGAATTATTTTACAAAAATATTTATTGTACTTCACTGGCATTGTTCCTGGTATTGCGCAATCAAAAAGTGACACACAAGAATTAATTGGATTATTGAAATTTGTAGGAGCTCCAGAAAACAACTTTGATTTTGTTGAAATTTGCGCATGTATTTCCAAACCAATTGTAGGTTTCCATTCTTTCCTATATAAAAAATATTATACTATTTGTATATGTAAATATGATACATTTGTTTAACTAATTTCTTTAATACACTTACATATTTTCAGAAATAAATCGTATACATTTTTTATATGTATTTTTATGATAATTTTTTATGAAAAAACTATTTTTAGGTAAAAACATGTTTAAAAATTTATTTTATAAACAAAAAGTTATATAACATGTTCTTTTTCATTTAAAAATATCTGTAATAATTTAACAAACTAAATGTAGTACAGTTTGCTATATAAATAAATGTTAATTTATGTTAACTTATATATTTGAAATAAGTTTTTAATATGAAAATATTTTTTATCTATTATTACACGATCGTTTAATACAATCTTAATTAATTATTATATACATTTGAATATAAAATTGATATATCGAAATTTCAGAATAAGTATAATATACAAATACACTTTACGCTATATGTTAATTCATTTCACAATTGTGATTCGAGCAATCTTACGATTGTTTTGGTTTTTTGTATCAATTATAACGCAACTCGTAAAAAAGATTAATATATTTCATCGGCTTACAACTTACAGAAACATAATAATATTTTCAAGACCTTTAAATTAAACAGAATTTAAAGGAAATCAAATATGTATTATTTAAAGAAGTATTACTATGCAACTGATACATGCATATAGATCAACTGAAAAAAGAGAACCCGTTTTAATTAAGAATACGCAATTATAAAAATTTACAAATTAATTCATTTGATTGGTTTCTTTTTGCAAATGAAAATTTAAACTAACATCACTATGTAGCAACGAAATGATGAAACTAATCGCTATTGCTATTTTTCACTATTGCGCTCTTCCTCTGTTACGCGACACCATCCATTCTTGTTGCTTACAATTCTTTCACAAAATATACATATATTTGTCCTTGTTGCACGCTATTTCCCTTATTTATAGAAGAATATAGATACTGCCATCTGTGAGCATATCGGCCAAAAAATGTGAGAACAAGCTATGTACTGCCATCTACTTAATACTAAGATCTCTTACTTTAATTAACTTCGATAGATGACAATCAAAGCTTCCGGTGCTGATCCAGTCATTAAAAAAAAACTGCGACGCCGCCATATTCTTATCACTTTTTTTTAACATTATGTACTTGTTTTATACGTACTTAAATGGTAGCATCTCTCTAGACAAAGAAAAAGATTCTCCTATAAAAACAATATATATATTGCGTGAGAAATAAGAAATGTGTGATAAGATCAGTAATGGCAATTAATTCTACAATTTCACCGCTACGTCGCGCTAATATTTCAATGTTTACAAATCATCCAAATTTTCATTCGCAGAAAAAACCTAATTAAGCGGATTATTTTGCGATCTTTGATGATTGTACCTTCCTAATTATACCTTCAATTTCCTTCCTATATTCTGTTTAACTTACACATACATAACATATATAAAGATTTATAAAATCTATTCAATAAATCGTATCACTTACTGGAATATTTATTGTTCTCGCACAGTATACTTGAACGTTGATTTAAAATTATTCATAAACGTAGTTAAAGATACGCACAGAAATTCCACACCCAGTTTTAGATATAAATTTTTATTTAATTAACTAATTGTTAACAATTGTTGTGAGTTGCCTCATTTCAAGGTAAATCACAGAGGGCGTACAAAACATTCCGATTTGTTTCTAGATTGGTATGTAGAACCTGAGACACATAAATTTTCCCTTAATTTTATCTATTTTGTTTTTAATGTTATTATTATAGTGCTGTTATATATAATGAAATAAAAAATTTGAAATCAGATAGATTAATCAATATATACACACACATTTGTATTTCGTTGCACGATACATATGTGAACATGATCTCGTTGGAATAATATTTAAAAAATTGTAAACAGTCTCAGAATCAAAGTGTAATTAATCTATATAATTATATCATTATAATTATATTCCATATTACTAAAGATTGAGGTAAGATTAAGATAATATCGAAGTAATTTTATTTTTATCATATTTCTTTTTATTGACTTTAAGATGCTAAATATTTTATCATAATATAAATTAATTCTTTTTAACCTCAGTAATACTATATAACTTTATTTTTAAAGAATAATAAATATAAAAATTATGCCATATATTCATTAATGAATGACGAACGAATTAATGAATTTATATGAATATACTTTAAATTGCAGATGACAAAATTAATGGAGTGGCTTTTATTTGCTGTTCTACTTTTTAGTATATGGATTGCTCTAATTTCTGAAAATGTTAATTTACATTTTATCAAAGAATCGAAACAATTTGTCCTTTTTCTCCCACCCGTTGCCTTATTTGTATGTGGTTTATATGCAGCAACTGTTGTTTTATATAGGACTTTCACATTTAACAACTGTGAACAGGCAGCTATTGAATTACAAGAAGTAAGTTTGAAAATGCATATAGTTTGTTCTATTAGTAAAATTACAAGTAAATTTAAAAATGCATATAATTTGTTTTATTAGCGTATAAAAACTATTTAACAAATTTATTAAAACTATTTCATAAATTTTTTTAGCAAATAGAAGAAGCTAAAAAAGATCTTCAAACTAAAGGTGTTGTTTTAAAATGCAAGTGAATCATTCTGTATGTTATATTTATACATATTTTTCATAATGATAAAATATTTAAATTGTATGAATTTAAGGATTGTAACATAAGTAACTATCTTTTAACATATAGTAAGCATTAAATTTATACATGTTAACAAGCTCATTGTGCTTATTAAGTAAAAATAGGTATCAATATGAATAGCTACTTTTTAACTTTCACAGAAATTTTAATGCATTTATTACAAGTAACATTTGATAACAAAAAATCTGATCATGTTCAATAATATTTTTATTCATAATATTTCATTATTTTTGGTGTTTGACATAATAAAAACTACATTAAGACATTTTTATAACATAAGATTTATGTTATAAAGATTCAAGTTTAATTCTTTGCAACAAAATCTTTAAGGCAATTACTAATTATTACTGTTTAATAATAAACATTTAATCATATAACAAAACATCAAAACATGTAGTTTATTTATGTAATCTGTATATTCTTACATACATATGTATGTATAATAAAATGAAACTATAAACTAATTTTCAAAATTTAACTTGTTTTAATTATACTTATGCATACAAAAAAAGGGATACTAATATATTCATTTGTGCCTAGACTCATCATTTTTATTTATTAAATATGCAATTTTGCAATAGTATTTGTTTTACATTGTGCTATATTTCTAATAAAATTTTAATATCAGTACTAGTATCTTAAAAATTCGAACGATTCCTAATAAGTTACATATTACTATATTAAGGCTACAACATATTGAATGCATTTTCATAATATTAATAATCTCATTGCCTTTACTTTTATAGAAAGTTAATTATAAATTTTCTTTATTCATAGTTCTTGTAAGTCACCTTGTGTTTATCTAAGATATTTCATATATGATTATTTCTTATTAGCTAGTTATAAGTTATTTGAGATTTTTTTTAGATGAAGAATGGATTGATATCGAGGTCAAAGCAAATTTAAAACAATATATGTATATATGTTACTTAAATTTTCTTTTTTTTTTTTACTTAAGAATTTCTTACATTTTGTTATTTTGTGACAAATGAAATGATTTATAATGTGTTATTAATGAATAACTATTTTCACCACTTCTGTTTAAAAAATACGAGACTTTTTTATACATACATACATAGGCGCAAGTTATACGCAAGTACACACATATATACATATGCAATCATACATATACGGATGCACTTACATAATTTTTATATTAGAAAGCCTATCAAATGTACAAAATATACTTGTCATGTGTACATACATATATTTTGAATACACATATTCTTGTCGTGTACACAAATTTATATGTATGTGTAATTGTACAATAGTTTTAACATATAAATACAACAAAGTATTTATATTTTTATATATCAATTAAACAAGCAGGCTTTCTCACATAAAAATGTAATTACAGTGTTTTATATATTCAAAAACAAAATGTTTTGCCAAAGAGCAATTTTCAGACTGCAAGGATGGATCATAACACTTATGCAAAATATTAAATTTCAATTTTAAAATAGTTAAAACATTGAGATTACATACTTTGAAATCAACAATTTAAAATTACAAAGAATTTAAAACATGATTTATGTATTTTGATATATAATCTCAGTAAATTTTTATCATTTATCAAATGCCAATAAAAAATTAACGTCTAACTAAAAGATTAATATAATAATATAAATATCTGTGCATACTTATGTACAAAGTAAAGATGACCAGTTCAAAATAACAAAACGCCTGTGTAATTACCCACCCTATATCAGTCCTTTAACTTCTTATAATCAATAAAGTGCGTTACTTCAGTCATCGAGACTTTGTGATAGCAGAAAATTAGCAGCAAGATTTTCGTTTTTTTCACACGCAAAATAGGCTTGTACAACTAAATGCTCGGGAAATCCTAGTGCCTTCAACCTCTCAATAGCTTCTCTATCCTGTGGTGTTACCTGAATTACAGAAGCTTCTACATCTGATCCTGTTCCTATACCTGCACCAAGACCACCACTTATACCACCAGGAGCAGTTGCTGGTGTAACATTAGATGCAGATACAGGCGTAGTTCTTCCTCCTGTACCACCAGTAGTTTCTACTACTCCAAAGTAAAATATATAACATAAGAATATTTCTAAACATATGAACGAAGATATTTTTATTTTATCAGTTAACTCACCAGGTTCATTAAGCATACGCACAAATGCTTCTTGATTTTGTGAAATCAGTTGTAACAATGCAGGATTAGTCTGACCAATTTGTTGTAGAACAGCGTTTAATAACTGAGGATTTTGTTGAATGACTTGACGCATTTGTTGAAATTGTGGTTGCATTCTCAAAAATGCTAATGGATGTTGACCATGATCTTGAAGTTGTTCTTGTGCTTCAAGTTGATCTTCTGGTAAATCTTCAAAAAGCTGAGCTGGTATTCCTGTTAAAAGGTACTCAACAGCCCTATCAGGATTGTTGAAACTTGCTCTCAACGCTTGTTCAACTTGTTCACGTTCGTACCTAATATAAATAAATTACACTAAATAAATAAATAACTTAAGAAAAATATAACAATTAAATGTCTATAATTCCTTTTTTTGTTAAGTATATATCTACCCCATATCCACAATATTGTTCACCATAGTATTGTAATCTTCACCCATCAACAAGGCACTTTCAGCTTGACCTCCAACACATCCAGCAGTAGTATTTGTTTCAGATTGCTCTTGTACAGTGTTAGCAGGGTTTGATACACCCTGAACATTAGGATTTGAACTAAGTTGTGCTACTGAGCTACGGCAAAAAAACGTATATTAAAACTAATTTAATATAGTATTTATTACTTATGTATACTATTTTTGTCATAAACTAATCTAAGAAATTATAAAGAAATAATCTTTATTATCAATAAAGAAAATTATTAGAAAATATTTCCAACTTTTTCATTATTATATCTGACAAATGCTCTAAATATATTTTTCTTATAGTTAATACCTAGTTGTACTACTTTCTTCTTTATTATCTGTACTTGTAGTATGTTCTTCTTCAGTCGTTGTATGGCCATTACCAGTCTTAAGTTTTGTTACCATAACAACTATAAATTTCTTTTCATCTATATTATATTCTGCTAATGGATGATCATCTGTTAATATTTTTCCTGTGAAAATAATGCTATATATTAATATATAATCATCATTATAATAACAATAACATTAGTAAAAATTCACATAATTTGAACGTCTTGCATTTTTATAAATAATGGTTATTAAAATAAATTTAACGAAAAATCTAATTAGCTTATAAATTAGTAAATATATTAACAAATTTACAATTAAGTGAGAATAAGGTTATGTAAGTCATATCGCTCACCAGCATATATTAACTTTTGATATTTAGCAGGAAAACCTTTTTGAGTTTCGATCTTTTGTTTCAAATCTCTTACCTAAAAAAGATACAATTAAAAATTTATTATATTTGAAAAGCTACATATTTTATATTTACTATATTATACTTACTGTTTGCGATGGATCAATTTCTACTGTAAACGTCTGCTGCTGCAAGTTTTTTAGTGTTATAATCATATTGTAAGATGTAGAATTAGTTATACGTCGTCGATTAATAAAGGAAACTTTGGAGGATCTGGTGTAATAAGGGTGAAAAGATGTTTTGGTAAAAATCTTTTTAGCGATGAGTCGGCACTGCTTAAAGCAACTTACAAATGCTTAACTCAGGATAGTATGCAGCAATGAAAACATATGATGACATAAAGCAGTATTTCCAATGTGAACAATTGAATGCATAAGGTAGGTACTAAAATAAGACACCATATCAAGAATAATTATCCATAATTGTTATATGCATTAGTTCAAATTAATCTAACCAATTTAATTTATATTAATTAATTTTAAATACATATATACATACATACATACATACATACATATATATATAAATTCTCTATTGCTAACCAAAATTTTAATTTCGATATTATTACATTTGACTGGTTTTAATGATAAAATTGCAAAAACAAAAAAGTATAAAAACAAAATATAACTATCACATCTACAAATTAATATCTTCACGTAATTTAACTTACCAAATAAATGCATAGAAACATGAATAAATATTATTGTGATTCTTTTATTTATATATTTATACACTTGCGAGTGACTAGAGAATAAAACTAAAAATATTTCATAATAATCTTATAGTAATACATTATACATCGAATAAAAATTTAAAATGTATTAAGATACACAAAAATGGTACTGTTTTTTTTTCTATTTCAATATTTTATGTCAAAAACATATTAACATTATATATTTATAATTTTTATTTATTTCTAATTAAGTTAATTTTTCAATGAAGTAATTCAACTTGTTAAAGTTGAATACATAAATAATAAATGTTAAAAATTACTATGTAATATCTTTATACCTTTAATTAGGTATTAATAATTCCTAATTTGTTTTAATAATTATTTTGAGTATCTCAATACATATACAAGTATATATAAATACTTATATTAATTATATTCTTGCAATATAATTATGTATATTTATACATAAATATTGTGTCAATGCATAAAATACATACATGTCCATTTTTCATATTTTTAATAACAAAGAATTATAATGTTTCTTCTATAAAATAATGATTGAAATAATAACAGTAAAGAAATATATTGAAATATCTATTAGAAAGACATGAAGTGGTAACAATTATTATTATTTTTTTTTTATATAAACTAAACTAAAATTCTTTTTAAATATGCATTTTCTAGTTAAATTAGATTGTTTTATATTGACACTTACAAATTAAATGCAGAATATTCAGAATGTTCTTCAAGTTTTATAACAATTATGGATAATTATTCTTGATATGGTGTATTTGGAGTCACATTGATCATCTCTGTTACACTAAAAAATATATATCAAAATTATATAATGAAATGACATGAAATTAAAATATTAACATGAAATTAAAATATTAATATAAAATTATTAAAGTATTTATTAAATAGCAAGCTTATTTTTATAAAAAGAGGCAAAAAAATTCAACAATTCAATGCAAACGAAATATTTTGAGTAATGAAATATATCATACAATGATAAATGTTTTATGTCTTACCTTCTAAACAACTACATACTATATTTTTAATTATTTTTATATATTATATACTTAAATCCAAAAATATAAATTTCTTTCAAATAATTAACTCAAATGTGTATAACAATATATGATAGAATATATATAAAAAAATGATACTGATTTCTATATTAATTTTCTAACTACATTACTTTAAAATAATATGATATTAACAAATATATACATACAAATAAATGTATAAAGCATGTTTATATTTATGCAATGAATAAAGCATATTATATGAAGCAAATTATGAAAAAATTTGAATTATTAATATGAATAATTAAGATGAATTATTAATAAAAACAGTATAAGTTAGTCATAATTATATGAAAAATTTGAGAAGTCAAAAATAAAAGAAAGTAGATATGATACATAACTACATGCATATGGTTGGTCTGTAACTCATAAAATATAAATTAAATATAAGAGATATCATGAATTAACAAGATTTAGTACATAAAAAGATATTTATCAAGCTATATCATGAGACATCAATTAACATTTTTGCAGGACAGACATAACACAATATTACAAACACTTACAAGAACAATTACGGTGCCCTAAGCATACTTTGTTGCAGTCATCTTTACATTAGTTTGCTGTATAACATACATTATATATTGTTATATAAGTTTATTACTAAATTTAAATTCAAAGTATATAATAATATAAACATTGATTGAAAAATTAATTAAAACAAAAAAGTATTTTTAATTTTTGATTAAATTTTTGATTTCCAACCTTTTTTAATCTATTACATTTGAAATAATATAACTGAAATTTGTATTACTTTCAAAATTATTAATACCTTATTAGATTATAGAGATTAATAAATGCATTTACTGTCAAACTTACCGCTTATTATCAACTATTGTTTTAAGACAGTAAATATGACAATAAACTTGAAATTAAATAAATTTATTATTTACTAACATTTATTTTATTATTTACTAACATTTTACTAATTTTTTAAAATAGGTTGATAGTAAATGCAATAATATGATGGATGCAGATGAAAAAGATACATTTCTTTTCTATTAATATTATAATACTTTATATTAATATTATAATACTTTTGTTAAAAAAAATTATTTTTGAAGCAACTGCATTTTAAAATTCTTCTTTAATTAAAGCTTCTTTAATTAAGCACAACACCACTTAGTGAAGAGAATGTATAATTTAGTATATAAATTAATCTTTACCTTTTAGAACATTTGATGTGTATTATTAATAATGTGATGCCTAACAATAAACAAATACATCCTACAACTATATAAGCAATACCAAGAAAAGGATTTTTCCCACCAAGAAGAGAAGTAGTACTCAAAATCATTCTTTTTCTACCATCAAAGGCAGACACAGGATATGCTATAAAAAAGTAAGTATTAAAATTTGTAAATTTATTTTTAACTTGTAATTTATATTGATAATCTTTACTTACTGTAATTAACGGTAAGTGTATAATTCCCTGCTAATAGACCTTCAGTGAAACCATTTTCTGTATGATTTACTCTGCGGTATAGTTTTCTAAAAGTAGGCAAAGCAGCAGTTCTCATCCAAACAATGAGATCTTCATTTTGAAAACCATTATTGCTTTCATTTTCTTCATCTAGCTGATAAATATGTTTAGTCCAATTTTTTGGTTTTGCAAAATTCTTAAATGCTTCTATTAAATTACCCTCAGGATTTTTAAATTTAATATTCTTATCTGAGGGCCAAGCTATTCCAGTCTTTAATAATGGTACATGCTTTTTATGTTTTTCAGAAAATAATTTTAAATTATCACTAAATAATGAATTAGCAATAGCACCACATGGTACAATAGCTTTCTCTCCTTCATAAGCAAATGGTTCACAGTCTGTAGAGACAACATCACTCAATTTTCCCAATAGTTGATTATCGTCTCTTGATTTTACATATCGCCTGTGATTCTGATAGAAATTAGTCAAACCATAATACATATAAATTTTTCCATTAAAATCATATGGTAATGTGAAGTTTAATTCACAAACACAAGGCTTTGAACGATCTTCTGCTATAGCATCTGCACATTTAATAGGTTCTTTTCCACGAAATATGTTTGTAGAATTACAATCTGTATAGTCTAAAATATATTCTTTAACCTGATCAGAAAAATAAAGCAATCCAACTCCAACTGGTATAAAAGCAATCCCAATTACAAAAAATGTTGGTAAAACAGTTCCAGCAGTAAGTATTGGTTGCCAAGCAGGTAAACGTTGCTGTTTAAATGCACTGTCTGTTTGAATATAAAACATTTTATTTTTATTTAAAAAATTAACTTATATACATTAAACTTATAATCTATATAATTTTATATAATAAAGAAAGTAGAAATTAGAAGACTATTTAAATAATATATATAATATTTGACATATATAATAAGGATTTTATATTTTAATATAAATAAGAAAATAAGAATAGTAGAACAACATTACATTACATTTTTTTCTTTATTTTTACATATATACGCATATATCAAATAAAATATTGCCATTGATATAACCTAATAAAGTTAATTTTCTTATTATAGACTTACCCGAAGGTTTTTTCGTTTTAGGTAACGAACTAATTTCGCTAATAGAAGTCATACTTCTTGTTAAAATAATAATTTATTTTCTTATCGAGAGTTTCAACAATTTAACACGAACATTTGTAAAATCTTCAAGACATGAATTACTTGTAAAACTTCTTTGACGACAGACCATAGATAATAAAGACGAATAAATTAAAAATCAAGCACATACACTTTGAATTAAACGTTTTATTAAATTAATAACTAAATTAATAGTTATTTAATAGTTATGTCAAAATAGTTATATATTTATTCATTATAAATTCATTGTATTTTTTTAAGTTAAATAATTGTTAGTTCTCTATAGTTTTCTTTTCAAGGAACTTTTTTTAGTGTGGTAATCCTACGCTAGAGAACAAAATTTAATTAATATTACATTACATAAAAAATATTTTCATGATAAAAATTTTTATAATATAAAAAAAATATATTCAATAATATATCGTACTTATTGTTATAAACTAGTAATATTTGATTTTATTTTTATAGATATAGATAATATTAAATTTTTAGAAGTTATGATAATTATTGTTTTAATTGGAGAGGAATAAAAATTGGAAACGTATGAAATATATATTTTTTTTATTTTCAAGAAATATTTTCTTATCTGATATATTTATAAATTAAGAACACGTTGTTTCAAGTAAACGCATAGTCATGACAGTTATTCAAATATCAATAGAGAAATATGGAGGGGGAGAGGCGCGAAAGAATAAACACTTTAAATTGTAGACTGAAAGTGTAATTTATTGTAAAAATAAAATCATGTACAAACTGTACAAGGGAAATGAATGACACAGACTTGAAAAAATTCTAGGACTTTATTACTCATTTTTTAACCTCTCCCACTTCTGCTATGTTTGAAACTTTCTTTAGGAGAAGTATCTGTATAATTATCAAAATCTCAATTTTGTTAACAGTCAACATATAATGTACATATAACTATTGTGATTTATGGAATTCTTTATAATGATATTTATAATATGCAAATAGCATACATTAAAAATGCCTATGATAATGAATATTACTTGCACACAATTGCTCTTGCATAGCAGAGGATTATTAATTATTTTATACTGATTTAACCTGAGAAGGAAGCAAGGAAGTCGGTGACAACTTGCTTCAATTTTGCATCAGAAGCTTCACTAATTGTGTTGTCTTTAGCAATAGTATTTAGGAGGTCTCGTTGGTTAGTTCTAGAAATATATAAATACAAATATAAATATAAGAAATATAATTAAATAAATATGTATGTAAATACCTAATATTGGCGAGGAATTCTTTTTCAAAAGCTGTGATTTTAGTGGGTTCCATTTTATCAAGATATCCTCGGACACCACAGTAGATAACAGCTACTTGTTCTTCAATAGCCATGGGTACTAAAAGTAGATAAAAATATTAATAAATATTCATTAATCTTTTTTATAATTTAAGTTTATTATGTGTATTATCAATCTGTACCATATTGTCCCTGTTTTAGAAGTTCTGTCAATCTGACACCACGATTCAGCAATTGCTGGGTTGCAGCATCCAAATCGGAACCGAATTGCGCAAACGCTGCTACTTCACGATATTGAGCCAATTCCAACTTCATAGACCCAGCAACCTTAAACAAAATATAAAGGTTATTTTATGAGTGTTCTACTAAATCTTTACATATTGTTATTTTATGAGTGTTCTACTAAATCCTTACATATGTTCTACTAAATCTTTACATATTACTAAATTTATAAGAAATGCACAGTACCTGTTTCATAGCCTTAGTCTGGGCAGCAGAACCGACACGAGATACTGATAAACCTACATTAATCGCAGGACGAATACCCTTATAGAACAATTCAGTTTCTAAGAAAATTTGTCCATCAGTAATGGAAATGACATTAGTGGGAATATAAGCAGACACATCACCAGCCTGTGTTTCAATAACAGGCAAAGCTGTTAATGAACCACCTCCCAAACTTTCATTCATCTTTGCTGCTCGTTCAAGAAGACGAGAGTGGAGATAGAATACATCACCAGGATAGGCTTCACGACCTGGTGGTCGTCTTAACAATAAAGACATCTGTCGATAAGCAACAGCTTGTTTCGATAAATCGTCATAAATAATTAAAGCATGCTTTCCATTATCTCTGTAAGAAAATTATTAAAAATTTTTTTAGTATTATATTTTAAAATTATATAAAAGATAAAATTTTATGTAAGAAAATTATTTTATATGAACATACCTGAAGAATTCTCCCATTGCACATCCAGAGTATGGAGCCAAATATTGAAGAGGCGCTGCATCAGAGGCAGTTGCAGAAACAATAATAGTATAATTAATAGCATTACTATCTGTCAAACGTTTTACTATTTGTGCAACAGTGGATCTTTTCTGACCAATAGCAACATAAATACAGTACAACTTTTTTTTCTCATCTCCAGCATCATTAAATCGTTTTTGATTGATAATTGTGTCAATAGCAAGTGCAGTTTTCCCAGTTTGTCTGTCCCCAATGATTAATTCACGTTGACCACGACCAATAGGTACTAAAGAATCTACAGCTTTGATTCCAGTTTGCATAGGTTCTCGCACAGACACCCTAATAAGATGAAATATATATATGTAACATGAAGTTAGAAAGAACATTTAATATTCCATATAAAGGATAAATTTAAATACCTAGGAATAATGCCAGGTGCTTTAGTACCAATACGGAATCTCAACTTGTTATTAAGTGGTCCTTTACCATCAATAGGATTACCTAATGCATCTACAACACGTCCCAGCAATTCTTCTCCAACCGGAACATCAACAATAGCTCCAGTACGTTTAACAATGTCACCTTCTTTAATGTGTCTATCATTACCAAAAACGACAACACCAACATTGTCTGGCTCTAAATTTAAAGCCATGCCTTTTAACCCTGAACTGAATTCCACCATCTCATCTGCCTGAATATTTTTCAGACCATAAACACGGGCAATACCATCACCAATGCTAAGCACTCTTCCAGTTTCCTCAAGATTGGTCTATAGATTATGTAACATTTGATTGAAATTAATTATTTACATATATTATTTACATATAAATTATTCATTTTAAACATTACTAAAATTTATTGTTTTACCTTAGGGGCTGAACCAAGAATACGTTCTTCCAAAATGGAAGAAATTTCAGCAGAGCGTCGACTGCAAGATACATGGTATTTGCAAGAGGCTATACTAAGAGGCCATTTGATCTATAATATAAAATTAAAACGAGTTGTTATTATATACTGTAAAAATATGCTACCCAAATACTTATTACATAACTTGGCACTATTCTGTTTATGTAATCTATTGTACAGAGAAAAAAATTTGTGACACATATTCCAATTGTCATAAAATTTCAATAAAAGCGATTGTAATTAATAAGAGACGTTTTATTTGTTTAAAAATAAAAATATAAATAATTGCTTGTATGAGTACGTGTGGTTATTGCAAAATGAAAAATGTCGGCATGTTCCATTTAAATATTTTCTCATAAACAAATTACTACTAAGAAGATATTATTTTTTTATATTACCTGAATCGTATTATTCGGTAATTGTCTCGCAATTGAAGATGCCAAACGTAAGGAGAGAAGAGCCATTTTGTTATATTACAAGTCCGTTTACCGGACTACGAATTCTAGAACGAAGAATGATCAAGACAGGGCAGAACCGAAGAAATGTCTCGTATAGCCCCACTCTGGTATATCTACCGGACAGGAAATCGATATCCATCGACTTGCGCATAACCTCGTATCCAGATACATATACTAATTCATAAATTTAAGTTTTTCATATTCTGCAGTATATAAAAGATACATTATAATAGAAACTTTAAACAATTTTTTTTGGACGTATATACATAATTAATGAACTTCATAACATATAAATTTGAATACAATAAATTTTGGATACGAGGTTACCCGCAACTATGTAATGCATTAGAAATTGGCGCGAAATTTTAGATTTAAAATACATATTGTATAACAATTGCATATTTATCATGAAAATAACATTATATTAAAGCACTCATTTTTACATACATAAATATGTAATTAACGTTTATGATTAAGATACAAACAATTAGTAGATAGTAATATTAAGTATTATTTTTATAATTGTCAGATATTTGTTTTCATAATGCAAAAATATATATATTTAATATTTTATTTAGATCTTTTAACATATTACAAATTTCATAACTGTCTGTAAATTAAGACAAATAATTCGCTGCTTAAAATACTATACCATATATTAGACCATCTATATTATGATGTATACTATCTAGATCTGTAAGATTGTAATACAATATCATAATAATATTAAATTTTCCTTGGATAGGAAATTTTATTAAAAGAAAATGTAAAAAATTTAAACGTATATATTTCAATTTGTCTTTATAGGAATTAAACAATTTTATTACTCTTACGACATTTTATGTTCAGGTTAAGTTGATTAAACACGAAAGCATCACTGCACCGGCGCTGAAGTTTGTTATTGTTGTATTGTATTGATTATTAGTAACTGCCTTTAGAGGATGTATTAATATAAATTTTTTATATAATAGCAAATGAAATAATTATCAAAACGGAAGTCAAAGAAACAAAAAAAGTATATTCATGTGGAAAAATATCTATTGTTTTATTAACTGCATTTACACTGCAGTTATTTTTTGAGATCGATAGGTGACAGGACAGGTAACTCAATGTTTACACTTTAAAGTAACAATACAGGATTTGTTTTAATTAAAAGTTATATTTTAGATAAAACAAAGCTGATTTGTAACAACATTTATACAAAAATGTTATTTTATCTAGTGGAACAATATACTTTCTGTTAAAAAATATTTTGTAATATTATACAAATAGAAATATGGATTCTGCCACTGAATCAGAACATATAGAAAAATTAATAAAAGAAGCCGAAAGTTTAAAAATAAAATTAGAAGATGAACGACAGAAATTAAATGATATTACTCGTAAATATTAATTTTTAATCTTTGTGTCATGATTTTATAAAAATTTATAGGAAAAGCAATTATAGTAAAGTATGATAATTGATATTATGTTTCAGTTGCTAGTGTAGCAGATAGACTTGAAACAATTACTTGTATCAATGTGAAACCACGTCGTGTATTAAAAGGTCATCAAGCAAAAGTTCTTTGTTCAGATTGGTCACCAGATAAACGTCACATCGTATCTTCCTCACAGGTCAGAATATACTTGAAACTTTTTATTTTAACTTTTAAAATATTCCTTAATATAAAAATGGCTTCAGGATGGTAAAATGATAATATGGGATGCTTTCACAACAAATAAAGAACATGCTCTTACTATGCCAACTATCTGGGTTATGGCCTGTGCTTATGCTCCAAGTGGTACTCTTGTTGCTTGCGGGTATTAAATGTATTTAAGATTTATAAATTAACAATTATTATTAGTTGATATGTTAAATGTATTTATTTTTTTGCAGAGGATTAGATAATAAAGTAACTGTATATCCTTTAAGCCAAGAAGATGAGGTATCAACCCGTAAAAAGACTGTTGCTACACATACATCTTATATGTCTTGTTGTGTATTTCCTAATAGTGATCAACAAATTCTAACGGGTAGTGGAGATAGTACTTGTGCTTTATGGGATGTAGAAAGTGGACAACTGTTACAAAGTTTTCTTGGTCACTCAAGTGATGTCATGTCTATTGATTTAGCACCAAGTGAAACTGGTAACACATTTGTTTCTGGTAGCTGTGATAAAATGGTTTTAATATGGGATATGCGGACTGGTCAATGTGTTCAAAGTTTTGAAGGACATCAATCTGATGTTAATTCTGTATGTAAAAGTTTATTTTTATTACGCATTAAAATAGATTATATTGCAAAAATAGGTTAATGTTATTATAAAAAAATGATTTGCATCATGTTATGTTGAGTTTAGGTAAAATTTCATCCAGGTGGTGATGCAGTGGCAACGGGTTCTGACGATGCAACTTGTCGTCTTTTTGATTTACGTGCAGATAGAGAAATAGCAGTTTATGCAAAAGAAAGTATAATATTTGGAGCAAACGCAGTCGATCTAAGCGTTAGTGGACGTTTACTATTTGCTGGTTATAACGATTACACTGTAAATATATGGGATACTCTAAAATGTCAACGAGTTGCGTTTTTATATGGACATGAAAATCGAGTATCTTGTTTACGAGTTTCTCCAGATGGAACTGCTCTTTCTACTGGAAGCTGGGATTCAACTCTACGAGTTTGGGCTTAATTTTAATAAAATTACATCTACTTAAAAAAGTACTAACTTGCCATATTGTTAAATAAGAATTTCTGTGCAGTATATAAATTTTAAAAATTGTATAATGACGTTATATTTTATTTTTAACTAAAATGTTTTAAATTGATAAAATACATCAATATTGTAACATAAAAATATTATTATAATTATTATACAAACATTGTAGAAAATAAGTGGAATTAGAAATCGTGATTGTCACGATTATAACAATGTGATAGTTTGGAATTAATCATTTTTAGGCTGGTCCTAATTTATAGCAAATTCTGCAAATAGAATATTTAATCAAATACAGTATTATCTTATATAAAACCTAATAAAACTTTAGTTCGTGCACATTTTTTATTATTTATCATTTTTTCCATATACTCCTTAATTTCATTTTACATAAAGAATTGTAAAATAATACAAATTTTTTAATCAGCTGGTCAGTTACCAAATAGTAGCGCTCTTGAATCTATATATGCATATACGTATAGTACGCGAATGCCTGACGGTGCACTTTATGTACGTTAATAATCACTAGTAAAAAAAAAATATATAAGTTAAGTTCATCAAGTGATATAAATTTACAAAAAACAAACATATTTAAATAAAAAAGAAGAAATGCCTCAATATTCGAGTATGTATTCAAAAAATTCAAATCATTAAAAAATCTAACCTTAAATTTCTTTATTTTATATCGAACAGTTTTCAGTATTTGATATATGAAGTATTTTGTTTTAGTTAAAGTAAAATGGGGAAAAGAATTTTTTCCTAACGTCGAAGTTAACACAGATGAAGAACCAATGTTGTTTAAAGCACAACTTTTTGCACTGACAGGAGTACAGCCAGAAAGGCAAAAAGTTATGTTAAAAGGAATGACATTAAAAGATGATGATTGGGGCAATATCAAATTAAAAGATGTAAGGAATAATAGTATTATTGTTTTTTTATTGATAACAAATATATTTTATAATGTATCTTTAATGTATTTAATGATGTAAAATTTTATTTTCAATTTTAATTTTAATTCTTTTTTATAGGGTATTACTGTTTTAATGATGGGTTCTAAAGAGGAAGATGTACCAGTAGAACCAACAGAAAAGCCATTATTTTTAGAAGATATGAATGAATCGGCATTAGCTACTGCTTTAGATTTACCAGCTGGCTTGACGAATTTAGGAAATACTTGTTATCTTAATGCAACGGTACAGTGCCTAAAAACTGTTCCAGAATTAAGAGATGCTCTAAAGAATTTTTCAGGAGGACTCGCAGCTCCTGGTAGCTCATCACTTGTACCTGCACAAAGTATAACTGCTGCATTAAGAGATTTATATGATAGTATGGATAAAGGATCATCTTTGCCACCTGTTGTCCTTGTTCAAATGATGCATTTAGCATTTCCAAGATTTGCTGAAAAATCTGAGCATGGTGGATTTCAACAACAAGATGCCAATGAATGTTGGACTGAGCTTATTAGAATGTTGCAACAAAAATTACCAGCAAAGGTTACTAAGTGATTCAACATTTTTAAAACTATGTTTTAAATATTATATTTATGTATAAAAATGTTATGTATATCTGTTAAATAATTATAGGAAAATCCTGTTGCCTTAGAAAATAATGGACAAAATTACAAGCCTCGTTCATTAATTGAACAATATTTCGGAGGAACATTTGATACAGAATTAAAATGTGTAGAATCTGAGGATGAACCTCCTACTAAGGGAAAAGAAGAGTTTTTACAATTGAGTTGTTTTATTTCAACAGAGGTTAAATACATGCATTCTGGTCTTAGAAATAAAATGCAGGAACAAATTACAAAAATGTCATCAACTCTTGGCAGAGATGCAGTATATACGAAAACGGTAAAAATTATCACGTGGTATAAAGTTTATGTTTTGGATATTGAAATTTTTATTAATAAGGACAATATATTTTACAGTCAAAAATTAGCAGATTGCCAGCATATTTAACAATTCAATTTGTGCGTTTTTACTATAAAGAAAAAGAAGCAATTAATGCAAAAATTCTCAAAGACGTTAAATTTCCTCTTGAATTCGATGTTTTTGAATTATGTAGCAGTGAACTTCAAACTAAACTAACACCAATGCGAGAAAAATTTAAGGAACATGAGGATCGTTTGGTGGAAGAATCACGTAACATAAAAAATAGAAAAGATAAAACAGAAAGTAAAAAGAATGTCAAACAAGAACCATTTTCATTTCCAGATGGTAATAAAATTATAAAGATTAAAAATCAATAAAAAATGAATATGAATGAAGTATGATATTTATATTATCATATACATTATTATTATAATTACAGATATAGGATCAAATAATAGTGGCTATTACTCATTACAAGCAGTTTTAACACATAGGGGACGATCAAGTAGTAGTGGCCATTATGTAGCTTGGGTTAGACAAAAAAATGACACATGGTTAAAATGTGACGATGAAACCGTTAGCGCTGTAACTAGCGAAGATGTACTAAAACTTAGCGGTGGTGGCGATTGGCATTGTGCATATGTTCTTTTATATGGACCAAAAATTTTAGAAGTACCTGATACAGATGACAATGATGATTCATCTGCTAAGTAATATTCTATAATCAACAAGTAAAGACTAAACCAAATGGGACACAATTTCCATCTTACATCTGTTAGACAAATGCATTTTTTTTTATACAAATGAATGTCAGTATAATTTCAATATTAAGGTACTACAGAATACTATTCGTAAAATCAATGGCAGTTATTTTTTATTAAATTATAAAAATAATGCATTATATATATCATTTTTGCATAATGTAAGTGACACAAAAGCTACATTGGTTCTGTACGCTTATAAATACATGGTGATAATCTTTGAATTATACATAATTATTGTAAACCATTAAAGTGTTCTTTTATAACATTACAATAAAATTGCAATTAAAATTAGAATCATTTTTATTAATTTGTCAATATTCTATATATTTACATTAATTTTATTGAAAGTATATTAAAAATATCATACGAACACATATAGTATTCTGACAATGATATGTAATATAAATATTAAATTAACTATTTCATATTCAAGAGATATTTATATTGTTAATTATCTTTATAATTTCATGTCATTTGTTACTATTTAATGCAAAAAATTAAATATTACCAAAATATTATAGAAGAAACATGAATAAGATTAAATTTTTGTCCCTTGTTCAAATTTATTAAGAACAATTTCTATTTTTTATCACTTTCATTATAATACTGGATATTTTATGAAATGTATTACTTTTGTGACATTGAAAAATTTTGTTGATTTTATATTTTTGTACTACACATTATAAATAATTGCATTTTATTTTACTAAAATATATTTATGTATATATTTGGATTAAACTGCAATATAAGAAGATCTTAAATTTAATAAGAAGTATTTAAAGTAAATATTGATTTATCTATAGCTCTCTCGAGATATAATTGGATAGAATCTGATAATGTAATAAATAAAATCTAACATAGATATATATGTACATGCATGGACATGTAATGCATACATATATATATATATATACTCCAATACATAGAAAACAAGATACGATGATTCTTGTATATATACATGAAAAAATAACATAGATAGATTGAAATAAGTAAGCAGTGCAACTACAGATACGAATCGTTACGGTTCTCAATTTTATATTTATCGCATAATTTATCAAAAAATACTGTGTAGTACATTTAAAAAAATTACGATCACATGGATGTATAAATCAAATTGTTCGCAAAAATGCATTCCAAAACATTTCGTAGTAAAACTATTCAACATTTCTTCAGTAGATTTCTCAGGTAATAATTAAATTTTGTATACTAATAAATGACTATTATTTCAATGACGAAGAATCGATATAATATATTACATTATAACATAATGTAAGATCATTATAATGTTATGCAATGAACGTTTTAATTTAGTATATGATTTTTGTATTAAATACTATAGTACTATATATTTGAGCATTTGATAGTTCGAAAAAGATTTTTAAATATTTATATGAATTCATGCAAAACTAACTGGATGTAGTCTTTCTGTTTTCAATTTTTTATTTTAATAAAGAATTATTACTAATTACTTTATATAAGGAAAATATTATAATCAGTACATTAATAGTTATTTTTTTAGATTTCAATATTAATTTTGATAAAAATATGTAATCATGTAATAGAAGTTTAAAATTTAATTTTCTCGCTACGATCTTGAAGCATGAAACGTAAAAATATATATCATAGATATCATTTTGATATCAAATGGTTAAACAACTTTTACAGTTAAATAGTTAAACATGTAAAACTTTTTTTTTGTTATAGTTTTGTTACTTTTTTTGTATTAAAAGGATATTTAATTGTTCTTTTATGTTAATTAACTATATTGGACTTTAAAAAGAAATTCTATTAAATCCGTGTCTTTTTCAATTTTTTTTATTATTCAATGTTATCAAATTATTTCAATGTTATTAAATTATTTAAATGTTTATTTTTTTAATTAGAAGAAAAGAGTAAGTGTTTATAATGTTTAAGACGATAGTAT